TGCAGCAGTGTTTGTATCATCTACTAATAAAAGTTAACTAATGTATATTGCTGCTTCATTAGTTGGTGGAAGACAGGACACATCCACTCACAGAGGAATCTCTTTACTCAGTAATGGCACCTTACATTTATAATAGTTGTCTAATAACATTAACTTTAATATGTAAATTACAGAACTAATATGAGATGGCTAAGACTTTAATTATAATTAAAACAAAAAACTTGGCTCGGCGCCTGTGGCTCAAGCGGCTAAGGCGCCAGCCACATATACCTAAGGTGGCAGGTTCGAATCCCCAGCCCGGGCCCGCCAAACAACAATGATGGCTGCAACCAAAAAATGGCCAGGCATTGTGGCGGGCGCCTGTAGTCCCAGCTACTTGGGAGGCTGAGGCAGGAGACTCGCTTGAGCCCAGGAGTTGGAGGTTGCTATGAGCTGAAATTCCATGGCACTCTACCCAGGGGGACAGCTTGAGGCTCCTGTGTCAAAAAAAAAAAAAAAAACTTTCCTAAAGCAATAATGTTAGATATTAAAGATTAAAATCTAATGTGGGTGGCGCCTGTGGTTCAAAGGAGTAGGGCGTCGGCCCCATATGCCAGAGGTGGCAGGTTCAAACCCAGCCCCGGCCAAAAACTGTAAAAATAAATAAATAAATAAAATCTAATGTATTTTCAAAAAAATGAAAAGACATAAACAGTTTTTTCAAAAGAAGATAGACAAATGGCCAACAAACATATGAAAATGTTCAACATAACTTATATGGAAAATGCAAGTTAAAACCACAATGAGATAATACTTTACCCCCAAATGGTCATTATAAAATCAAAAATGACAGATGCTGGAGTGTGTGCAGTGAGAAACACTTGTACACTCTTGATGGGACCTCAAATTAGTACAGTGTCTATGGAAAACAGTATGGAGATTCCTCAAAGAAATAAATATAGACTTAGATTCAATCCAGCAATCCCACTACTGGGTATTTACCTAAACGCAAAGAAGTCATTTTATCAAAAAGACACCTACTAGCCAGGCATGGTGGTGGGTTCCAGCTAGTTGGAAGACCGAGGCAGAAGGATTGCTTGAACCCGGGAGTTTGAGGTTGCTGTGAGCTAGGCTGTCAACATAGCCCTCTAGCCTGGAGCAACAGAGTGAGACTCAGTCAAAAAACAAAACAACAATAACAAAAAAACCCACTCAATGTTTATCACAACATAATAGCACAATTCACAATTGCAAAGATACAGAGTTGACCAAAGTCTCTATCAATCACGAGAGGAAAAGAAAATGTGATATATAGGCCAGCCATGATGGCTCAAGCCTATAATCCTAGCACTATGGGAGGCCAAGGCAGGAGGATCACGTGAGCTCAAGGAGTTTGAGACCAGCCTGAGCAAAAGTGTGACCCTATTTCTACTAAAAATAGAAAAAACTAGCCATGTGTCATGGTGGGCACCTGTAGTCCCAGCTCCTCAGGAGGCTGAGGCAAGAGGATCACTTGAGCCCAAAAGTTTGAGGTTGCTGTGAGCTATGATAATGCCACAGCATTCTATCCAGGGAGACAGAGTGAGACTGTCCCTTTAAAAAAAAAATAGTGTGTGTGTGTATGTATATTTATATTTATATGTCTGAGTAGGACCCCAAGGTGTATATGTATACACAGCCATATGGGATCCTACTCAGCCATATAAATGAATGAATAATGTCATTTGCAACAACTTGGACAGAACTGAAGAGCATTATCCTAAGTGAAGTATCTCCAAAATGGAAAAACACCACACATGGGCGGTGCCTGTGGCTCAATGAGTAAGGCACCGGCCCCATATACCAAGGGTGGCCAGTTCAAACCCAGCCCCCACCAAACTGCAACAAAAAGTAGCTGGGCATTGTGGTGGGCACCTGTAGTCCCAGCTACTAGGGAAGCTGAGGCAAGAGAATTGCCTAAGCCCAGGATTTGGAGGTTGCCGTGAGCTGTGTGATGCCACGGCACTCTACTGAGGGCGATAAAGTAAGACTCTGTCTCTACAAAAAAAAAAAAAGAAA